CCAGGTTCTTTCTGTGTAAGAAAACAGGAATCTGAACTATTCTGAAATATTCTTTAATAGCCATAGGCACCAGTTTCATCTGAAGCACATAAAAAGTTAATGAGGATTATAGACAATTCAGGCCAGAATAACAGAGAGTGAGTGAGTGACTTTAGTTTTATACCGCTTTTAGCAATATTCCAACAATATCCCCTTTGGTGACACAAGAAATGGGCTTCACACAATGAACCCATGTAGGGAATCGAACACAGGTCTTTGACGTGACAAACGAACACTGCCAGAATTATTACCTAATTAGAATAAATCAAAGCAATAACTCTGTGAAATATTAATTCCTACTCCTAGAGCTGGGATGTCAAACTTTGTAACACATTCACTCACGTTAATAATGTGTTAAGAATCTCTTTTGTACCTACTACATTACTTAAGCTGATACTATGCTACAGTGGTTTCTAACAAAACAATTCAATCTTATCAATATAGGTGTGTTGCTACGAACCATGTCAAACAAGTATCAAGCCTCTGTAAATTACTGATTTATAATGCTTGGTCCTATACCTGACCTACATTCCTCAATGAAGAAGGCAAGATGGCATCCTTGTATCAAAATGGCACCTGCAAACAGCCTCCTCACTGAAGTTTGACAATGGAAAGATGGAGTCCAAACCTGTATCTCCCATCATTGTATGCTGGAGAAGGATAATACATGGACCCTGTATGTGGGAAGTGTTCCATCCCCCTCAATACTCTGTAGGTCAACTATCAAACATATCTGCTGAATATATACTGTCCAGCAACAAAACCAATGGGTGAATCGAGATATGCTGGACCATGTGTTAGTTGTGGGTTGACTGCAACTGGTGGTAATACATACAGTGTATCAGTGTTACAGCAAGACAACATAGATAGTATCTAACAGTAGTTCCTAGTACACATGAATTTCCACTAATGTCAGGTTAAAGGGATAACTTGTGTTGACCAGAGTCACATACTCATCATATGTGCACATTGTATACAGTCTTTTATTGCTAAATCTAAACTTTATCAACTTCCAATGACAAAAAAGTATATGAGTACCTCCTTCAAAATACTGCAGTCAATATGAATGTCAGCTATTTGAATTGCCCCTGATTACTGGGCCAAACTGGGCAGCTGTAATATGACACACTTCACAGCAGATGCAAGACTGTATCTTATGTACCAGAAACATGTCTGTCCATGGTATGACTTGACCAGATCAGATTGACACTTCGAGTTCCAACCTCCAGACAAGTGATGGTTTTGCTGGATATTTCCAAACCGTTATAGATGTTATACTTCTCTATGAATTATTACATATGAATAATGTTATAGGAATATTGAAGTGAATACATACCAGGTGTGGAGGTATCCTAAATATGAACTGCTGCTATTGGATAGCCGTACAAATATTACACATACCGTTCCAAAGGAAACACTCTACTCAAGAAACAGCAGTGAGCGCAGCTATGTGGACACAGACATTTGCCTATAACTAAAGGAACTTTCCCGTTAAGATATTATATTTACACGAGTTAAGTAACTTAGACAGCTTAAAACAAAATAATGTTTACCTGTAACATCGAGTTTCCGTGACTGGACAAGCACTGCCATCTACTGGTAGCTTCAGGGGAAGCAATCTACTTGCTACCGAACAGAAGCTATGAATGTGAGCTGGTAGCGTGCTCCACCAGGTTGCCCGTTCATTGAAGAAATACACTTCGCTCTACCACCATGTATAGTGTAATAAAACACACTTTTGCCCTGAACTATTATAGTTAAAGCACGAGGACGCTTTAACGTCATAATAGTTCAGGGAGAAAGTGTGTTTTATTACACTATACATGGTGGTAGAGCGAACTGTATTTCTCTTCTAAGATGCCAAATTTAATACTTTCTAAGGATAATTACGATTAATTTAAGGCAGAAAACAAACGGCGGTGTCGGTGACCTAAATTAAGAATCCTCGCACGGGGCTAACTGGCGCGCTGTTCTATTGACGTGTCTGTCCCCCTACGTTAAGACGAACGTTACCAGAAAAACAAATGATAAACAGTTTCATGACGGTTTACGTTCGGATTAAATATCTTCTCTAAAGTATTTTAATTACATCTGTGATTAACGTAAACCATGTGAACGTCGTATTTCTACTACCAACGTATGTTTAGATCAGTACATCCAGACGAAGCTGAGTAGTCTAGCGACATTCCACGATTGCATTGTGGGAATGTAAACATTGCGAACGTTACCGTGTCGCTGAAAACTTGCGAGTCGAATTGAGACATTTAAAACGTCAGAAAACATAAACGTAATGTTTCCACCAGTGATGTTAGGTGAGTGAAGCAACTGCAAACCAAGAAACGGGATGCAACGCAGTAGTTTACTGTAGGAGGCCGTACGAGGCGATGACAACTAACATGCATCGTGACGTCGCTTACACTGTGACGTAATGTTAAATGGTTCGATTACGAGGGGGCACACTAGAATGGCGCAGTGACGTGATGGCGTCATTCAATTGTTACGTCATCAAAAAACTATACCTTTATTGTCTGATAATGTGGTTTTTTTTCGATTGTTCTAAGCGCTAAGCATCTTAGAATACACTATACATGGTGGTAGGGCGAAGTGTATTTCTTTTCTAAGATGCCAAATTTAATACTTTCTAAAGATAATTACGATTAATTTAAGGCAGAAAACAAACGACTGTGTCGGTGACCTAAATTAAGAATCCTCGCACAGGGCTAACTGGCGCGCTGTTCTATTGATGTGTCTGCCCCCTACGTTAAGACGAACGTTACCAGAAAAAAACAAATGATAACAGTTTGATGACGGTTTACGTTCGGATTAAATATCTTCTCTGAATTATTTTAATTACATCTGTCATTAACGTAAACCATATGGGGCAATATGAACGTTGCATTTCTACTACCAGCGTAAGTTTAGATCAGTACATCCAGAGGAAGTTGAGTAGTCAAGCGACATTCCACAATTGCATTGTGGGAATGTAAACATTACGAACGTTACCGTGTCGCTGAAAACTTGTGAGTCGAAATGACACATTTTAACCGCCGTAAAACATAAACGTATTGTTTCCACCAGTGATGTTAGCTGCGTGAAGCAACAGCAAACCAAGAAACTGGATGCAACGGTGTAGTTTACTGTAGGAGGCCGTACGAGGCGATGACAACTGACATGCATCGTGACGTCGCTTACATTGTGACGTCATGTAAAATGGTTCGATTACGAGGGGGCACACTAGAATGGCGCAGTGACGGGAAAACGTCATTCCATTGTTACGTCATCAAAAAACTATACCTTATTGTCTGATAATGTATTTTTTTTTCGATTGTTCTAACCGCTAGGCATCTTAGAATCTCCCTTAGTATTACAACAGGCCTATTTTCTATTTAATTTTGAATCATGAAATTATTTCATACATGCATGATAGGTGACGTTATGTGAACCGTGTTTATCGTGCAGCCGGATATTTGGGATTTAGCTATATTGTCTTCTGCTTCGTACAAAAGTACCTTCACTGTTGTTTATCATTCTGTATGTAGAGATAATAGTCCCAGAAGTTACAGTTTTCAAATATAAATAGATAATTGCTCTATTTCATTATAGCGAATATCCGGCAACATTTCCAACGCATATATTCCGTTCAATTATTTTGTGAATAATAGTATATAAAAACTTCAGTGTATGTAAATGTTGCGGATATGGCTCAGTACAAAATAAGACCAAGAGAAGAACTCTGAAATATCTCGAAAGAACGGGAAAATACAGTTGACAAACATTGGAACGGCGATGGAAAGTACAAACAGAGCCCCTACATTATATGTTCGCCGCCATTATCATTCAAGTATCCGGGCGGTGAGGTAGCCTAGTGGTTAAAGCATTCGCTCGTCACTCCGAAGACCCTGGTTCGATTCCGCACATGGATAAAACTTCGGAAGCCCATTTCTGGTGTACCCCGCCGTGATATTGCTGAGAGCGGCGTAAAACCAAATTCACTCACTCACTCAAGTATGCTGTAGTATTCTGTGTTGTTTGTAGTGTAGGGCCGCACCCAGCAGTTTTCCACATATTTGACAATGATCTGTAAATAATCGAATCTGGACCAGACAATAAAGAAATTGTCATAACGATCATCGATCTCGTTGGGTTACAATGACATGCATCAACCCAGTTCAGGTGCTCACATCCCATTGTATACAGGTAAGATCGCTTTGTGCAAGGTGCCACATACGGCGAATAGGATGTTGACAGAAAGGTGAATCACAGGTTCCTTATTGAGAGGTTTCATTTACATATTTGTAACCGTTTCTTTATTTATACATAGAGCATGAACGTATTATAGCAAGTTACTTGAAAATTGCACTTATTATGAAACTGAACTCGTGAGTCCAATAATTTTACACAACTGGTACAGGTAAATCAGATTGTTATTTTCACACTGAATGCATGACTTTGCTAATTTGTTTACTAATTTTGTAACTCTTTGAAAGAAAGACTACAAATATATCTGAACATAATTAATTTCATAATTTGCTGCCCGGCTTCCGGATTATAACTGTGGCGGCGGGGTAGCCTAGTGGTTAAACCGTTTATTCGTCACGCCGAAGACCCGGTTTCGGTTCCCATTCCTGGTGTGCCCCGTTGTGAGGTTGCTGGAATAGTGCTAACAGCAGCGTAAAACCAGGGAGACTCTGTTGTAGAGTATCCCTGGTAAAACTAAACTCACAGACACTGGATTACAACTGGACTGCATCCTCATTTGTGAAGATGTTCTGTAACAGTCTATAAGACAAAGTTAGTATCTTTCAAAACAATACGATTTTGAAAATTGTTTTTGAAAAAAACCAGTGAACTAATTTAGTGCATGTTGGATGGTTGTCTACCTAAGCGGAGATCGAGCAGACAACATCTCGCCAACTAAGGGAGATAACTAGGGATTTAACGTGATTCAAGCGAGAAGAAACATGGCCGACGCCGATCGGCAGGTCGAACTTTTGTTCTTTGATACATTTTCTCATGAAAATGCAGAGGTGAGCACTCTTTGATATACCTTGCACTTAATTTCTTAAAGACAAGCGGAGAAGATGACCACAATGTTTTATCTCTGTTACTGCCACAAATTTGCAAATGTGCCTGTTGCTGTATTTGTCACATGGCCCGCTTACAAACAAATCTGTTCAATTTGTAAGACGATGCAGGGTTGTTTACACTGACGCGAAGATGTACATCTGGGGAACAAACATGGATATGCTGTTATTGTGGACACACCCAGTGTACGCCAGTAATCCTTCTTTGTTTATATAACCATATCAGTCGATGGGGAAACAAAATGTCTATCATTTCTGTTCTAGACCCTTTACCGCGTTTACTGTCTACACCCTCACCTATTCTGCGTATTTCAGAACATCTACACAGTAAGGCAGTCACATGCACTACGTTTACTGTGAGATGCTTGTAGTGTTGGTTGCGGATCTTACTTTACTGATTTTGTGTGCATCTTTGCATATCTAGGTATCCTTAGGTTTAGTGGTGTTAAGAGTAGGGCAGGTTTCCCCCAAATTCTGCCCTTTTTCCATATATCCTTATTCTCTTTGTTATCAGGCACCTATTTATGATTGTTAGCATAAGATTCCCCCATGCAGTAAGCACCTACACAGCACAGGTCACCCCAACAATGGGTTGATATCCTGCTTTAAGTTAGAAACTTGAAACATCAGTCTTTGGGTTGTAGTCAAAAGGGCCAAAGAGAAGTCTAAAGGGCCTTAGATTTAAGTCAGAAGGGCCATAGTTCAAATTAAAATAAGAACATACAAACTAATATATCCCAAAGCGAGCTGAATTCGACGTTCAGGTGAATTTGACAGTTGCATTGCTCGAGTTATAATGGGGTATACATGCACGATCAAAGTGCACAATCAGTTTCATCGGTAGCCTGGATGACCAGTCGTTGTCGTGAGAAGTTTTATTGACAATGGAAATCCGGAAGTTAAGTTATATAAAAAGCAAACAAACATCAATATTATTTACCAGAGATCGTTAATACCACTTCAGATGCAAAATCAATTGCCTTTGTAACATAAAATAGCAAGCGAAAATTCAGTAAGATCAGTCGTCTGCTAGTGACAGGCAGTATATAAATAGGAAGCCACATGATCACAACACTCCCTCGCGAGTGCGGAGCGAGAAGTATGGCTCATCATCGAAAACCCATACCAAATGCCTGGATGTGGCGAGCTGTATATGATGTCATCCACGCTATTTTTGTTGGAAACACTTGATATTTTTGTTTGAAATAGATGAATATATCCTTTATCACTCCAGGTTAGTAAAATAAAAACTTTAAATGATATCAAAGATAAAAATAACGTTTTTGCCTTACATCGTCGAAAACCCTTGACATCGGGATATATTTTGTTATATTTGCATCAATATGTAGCAATAATAGTAATAACTTATATTCTGATTATCATACATTCAGGTGTTGATATGTGATCAGATATTCATAAGTAGTCCAAATGTTCATAATTCACTTATCTTTAAAACTGTAAAATTACCGGACTGAGACTTGGGCTCAGAGCAGACATGGCAGAGAAAGTGGAATTCCTCCCCATTCTCGCAGAGACGGAGGTATTCCTCTCTGGTCATGTTTGTGTCACATCTATGATGGGTCCATCTCTAACAACGGTCACACTCCAGCCCAGGGCATGTAGGTTCTTCCTAGCTGTTTTGTCACAAGCGACACACTTTACAGGCATGGTTACCAATTTGAATTGTGGTTGAACTGTTCTTGTTATATAGCATTCTGAGTCATGAGACCAGTCACAACTAAATATAACGTTAACCTTGTTAATATTACTGACTAGTGTAATTATCACCAATGACTCTGTTAAAACCTCTTGTAATCATTAAGTAAATAGTTGTATTGTTGACTATACTCATAAACATGTGATAAAATAAACACTTAACCACTCTGTGATATTTTACATAAACAACACTGAGACGCTTTGAAATGTTTACTCATAATACAATAAACACTTAGCCACTCTGAGATGTTTTAAATATACAACACTGAGACACTCTGGGATGTTTAGGATTAGAACTACTGCAACAACATGTAAATAATTTCTTCTAAGCTTACTTTTTTCTAAAAGTTTGGACCTTTTGACTTAAATCTATGGCTCTTTTGACTTTCCCTTGGCCCTTTTGACTTTTCTTTGACTCTTTTGACTTTTTCAAGTCATGTTGACTTGTTCATGCTGTTGATCACTGGATTGTCTGGTGCAGACTCGATTATTCACAGACTGCTGCCATACAACGGGAATATTTCTGAGTGTGGTGTCAATCCAATATTCAACCAATCAATCAACCGATTGATCGATCGATCTTCATCAGGTGAAGAAAATTTGGAAGCAGATACCTTTATAACTAAGTATATGTAAAAGAACAAAAGTGATAGGTGATATAAATGGTGGGCATTTAATAATAGAAGTGGGAAGCCAGTAGTTAATTGGTGCTGAATGGTAATGGCAACAGACAAACTGAAGCCAGGTCTTACCCACACGCAAATAGTCTTGATAGGTACTGATCTAATGGACAAAGGGGGGTAACTGCACTGATTAGTGACAGTGAAGACAACTCCCAAGCGCTACGTAGGTGTGTTCTCTAGTTGGTAGCTGGTTGGAATCTCCTACACCAGATGTTGTTAGCAGACTTTAATGGAAGCCTTCCCACATGATGGTGTGATCCTACCTCATATATTCATCCTTTGGGGCTGGGACTTGAACTGTTGGTGCCTATGCTATATTTATATAAATTAAACATTTGAAAAAACACTTTTCAGCCAAGTATATAATTATTCTATATCTGTCATGGGCTCAGGTATTGTCGTGAGCTTGGTAAGCATAGTGGTGAGGCAAGGGAGATTTTGTATGCTGGTAGTTTTTCAGTGGATTGGTTCAACGAAAGAAGTTTACCAAACTCATGTCAAATATGTTCACAAAATCTAATTACTAACATGTCGTTTTGTATTTCTTTGTAGGAACTTAACTTGGATTTGGTACAGTTCCCCTTGCCCAGTGATAATATATGAGGTGCGAGTGATTCCACTTCGTACACAGGTCCAGGCAGATTTTCCTGGAGGCGTGAGACTTGGGTAAATACAAATGTAGTTATCTCATCAAGTGTGCTTTGTGTTACTTCACTCAATTTTCTTAAAAGAATATTGTCTTGAACATGTTCAGAAGTAATCTTTCCCGTATTTAATCATTGTGTAAGACTGAGAGATCATTTTCATGATCATATTTACTGGTGCTTGAAACTGGTGTCACAATTTGAGATTAATTTGTGTAATGGGGTGATCATCAACTTACTTATTTCTTGAAATAGTTTCATTTGCAAATTTTGTTATTTTAGCATGTTAGTAACATTGGTAACTACCCATAATTCATAAACACAGACTCAACTGTTACCTCCTGTATTTGGATGGAATAATAACGTGTACAACTTCATGGATAGCAACTCCTTGCAGAAAGCGATGTTTCAGTGTAGATTCTTGCACCATTATCATGCTAACGTCTCTGTATGCAATAAACAAAGTGTTGTTATCCATAAAGTTGTATGCTTTATTCTTTGTCAGAAGTCCTCCTTGGGGTACATATAAGCATTAAAATGTCCATTTTGAAAACCTATGACAGTTGTAACTATGTTTCGTACAAATATTTACAAAACAATAAACATGTTTTTGTCTTGTTTGACCACCCCCTACAGGGCCCCTCAGGGTCCCCTACAGCCAAGATCAGGTAACTCTAGCTGGAAACCTCGCACCCCACCTTTTCATGCTGTCGTTCTCAAAGTAGGACATGCATGGTTCATTTTCTGGTGGTCTACACTGCAACCGACTATAGGTGATAAAGATTCAAATACTGTATGTATGGTTCCTTTCTTTCCACACAGCGTTAGATGGAATTTATATGTAGGTATTTTCATTCATAATTTGTTGTAACTTTAACTACGTGTCGCTCCTTTTCAATCCATGTGGCAAGCAAGATGGAGGACTACGCGGCTTCTTCTCCCTTTCCAATTTGTTGTTAGTGTTCCGCTTTCACTCTTTGTCAAAGTTTATATATAATTCTATGGTATTATATATTTGGCGTGCCTTCGCTTTTAGTGAAATTATGGTAATTCATTGTTGAGTAATTTTGTAAGGATGTGTCGTCGTCCGGCATTCTCTTAATGCGACCTTCGAGTGTGCTGGTACCACAGGTGGCCTCGTCTCTAGCCTACCTGGGAACCCTGTTTTGGCAGGCTTTTCCCTCGGGTCTCGGTGCCTTGGCTCACACACACACACACAGAGGAATCTGCAAACTGGACTTCTCCACTGCAGACTCGCAAAGGTACAGGCAAGGCTCCTCAGTCTCAGCAGCCTTTTTGAGTCAGTCACGGCTTCCCAATAAGTCTTCCTTGGGGTCTTTAGAGGACCCAGTGCATGCAGTTGATGTACTGCCGGCTGTTGGGATCCATTGCCTTTTGCCTGAAGTTCCCTGTCCAACTTTCCATGTTCCTAAGGGGGTGGGAGAAAGTCACTTCAAAATCCCTTGGTCCTGTCCACACTGTCAACTTTCTCTCCCCAGCTGTTAAGTTGGAAGGCAGCCTTTATTGTGGCGGCAACGTCTGGCAAACAGGTCGGTGACATTTATGCAATGTCATCGGATCCTGAGCTTACCGTTTTTCACAAAGATCGGGTCAGCATTCAGTTGCCAGATTCTTACCATCTTAAGCATGTTAAGATTGCAGGCTCCTTTCACGTAATGGCACCTATCGAACTTCCGGCTTTCACTCAGCCTCCATCGTGCGGTACCTCTCTTCGATGTGCACACGTCTTAGATGTCTGTAAGACCCTTACGGCTTAAATCAAACGAACAGCGTCTATCCGGAAGGATAAGCAACTGATCTACTGTTATGGCGGTGGTAAGGCTGACCTTCCAGCGAACAAGCAGACCATTTCTAGGTGGCTTGTCTCCGCCATTTGTATGGGCTACATTCACAAAGCTTAACTCCCCCAGATGGGTTGAAAGCTCATTTGGTTAGGGCAGTGACCACCTCTAAGGCGTATGCTACGGCACTACCCATTGAGGAGATCTGCTCCGCAGCTATTTGGAGCCGTCCGAGTATGTTCATCCATCATTATCAGCTGGACAAACACTCACATGAGCAGAGCGTGCTCGGTTTGGCCAGACAGTTCTCCACAGTGGGCAGAGTCGTAACTCTCTAGCCGATTGAGCTTTCGACATAACCGTATATTAAGCCAAATTTTGACAACCAAAAAAAGCAGTCTGTAGAAGGGGGGTCGGCTTATCTATGGGTTACGCTTTCGTCAAACTTTTTTTCCAGGGATAAGAAAACAACATTGTATCACTTCGCGTGAAAAAACAACAGAAGACGATTTTGTCAGTAAAGACGTCAAATTTGCAATTGAACATCGCTAGGCAAGATTATTTACCTTTGTTTTTTTAAAGTTGTTTTTGCTGGGCATTGTATTATTTGCAGGGATTAAGATTACCGTGTGTATTTGAGCCGGAAATAGCAATCAGCTGTGCACACATTGATCTGTTTGATTGGCATTTAGAAGTTGGTGACTAATAAGAAAGTAAGAAAGTTTATGGATAACAACTTCTTTATTATATATGATTCGACGTTTCGGTATGGATTCTTATACCGTTGTCAAGCAAGAGTGAAGTACTACAGCACAGAACAGACTTATATACATGAAGAGGGATTAAGTGATAGCTGAGGTGCTCTAATCTGTTGTTTTTATCAGATCATTGTATGCAGAAGGGATGAGATATCCCTGGTCTCAACATAATTTGGGACAATGTGGAGATATTATCCAAAAACCACCAGGACTTCACCAAAAGGAAACTTGCAGAAGCAGTTCAAATCCGGAGACACAAGCCCTCAATCAACAGAGACCAGGGATATCTCATCTCTTCTGAATACAATGATCTGATAAAAACAACAGATTAGAGCACCTGAGCTATCATTGTTAATTAATCTCATCAGCATGTATATTTTGTTTTTACCTCCACGACCATTGGCTTCCTATTGTCACTACATTATTGCCACCGTGCCTTGTTGTTGTTGTTAATCCCCCTGGTTCAGTCCTACATGTTGTTATTACTTAATCCCTGTTCATGTATATAAGTCTGTTCTGTGCTGTAGTACTTCACTCTTGCTTGACAACGGTATAAGAATCCATACCGAAACGTCGCATCATATATAATAAAGAAGTTGTTATCCATAAACTTTCTTACTTTCTTATGTGCACACATTTCTCGGCAAGCAAAGTCAAACAGGCACAATAATATAACAGGATGAATTCTGACGCAGTCGTCAGTAAAATATGATACAGAATACTATTATTTAACCCAAAGAAATATATCCTAGCATTGTGTAATTTTAATCAACACTAAGGTTATACGGACCCTTATGAACGTGGTAAGTGGAAGTTGTACGCACATGGAATGGGATAAAATAAGTAAGCCATTTAATTTCACACATTTTTACCGATGTAAACTAGCAGTAAACTAGCAGTCCATGGAAAAAGAGGCTGTAATCAGTTCATGATTGTTGATAATATGATGTTAAAGTGGCTATCGCAGTTGTAGCAAAAAACGTACCCCCATGAACGTGGTAAGCGGAAGTTGTACGCACATGAAATTGGGTAAAATAAGCAAGCCAGTTTGTTGACATGTGATTGTCTAGCTACAATAAGTAAGATATTTAGCGAAACAAAATATATTATCCATTTTCTGTCAACTACACTTCATTTTGATGCGTGAGTAGATGCAATATGATTGTGGTGAATTCTTTGAATAATGTGGACCAAAGTTATATTTTTAACTAATCCTGCACTGCTTACTTCCTGCACTTATTGCTTACGGCTCGAAAAGCGTGGCTTGCCAGACGATGTTAAAAGACATAGAGCTGCAATCACTTCCTGGTCTCGGCTGCTACTCGTCTGCGCATTCGTCACCGGAAGGTGACGTCAGCCACCTCAGATTATTGCTTTTCGCACGCCTCGCTAGACATGTGGGTTGCCAGCGGTTCATTGTATCCTACGGGATTATTTGTGTGTGCTTAATAAACTGACTTTTGGTGTATTATTATTTTTTTTCCTCTACAAGAATTGTAGGTATTATCTTTCACTTTCTCTTGTTATTTTAGTTCAGTAGTTCTGTTTAGTGATGTTGTTCGTTTATAACATGGTCCCGTCACCACTCTATCACTTCGCCATTACAACACTTCGCCGTATTTGTAGTCGTTGTGTTTTATTTGGTTCAGGTTTATATCTTATACCATACAATAGTGGTATATTTATTATGTCTGTATTATGGTCTCTTTATCATTCAGTTCTTTGAGACTTTGTTCTCAATGATGCTGTTGTATTCATTACCATTGTATGTAATGTTTTATGTGCGTTTACTGGGTTTTCTGTTTTATTGCAGATCCATGTACAGCGCAAGTTGCATACATTGTAGGGGTGGGAAGTCTCGTAAAGACCCTCATCCCCGATGTTTGAATTGTACCACTCAATGTTCCCTTGGCCATAAATGTGCCAGCTGCGCTGTTCTTTCACCCAAGAGTTTCTCCGTTTATCTCCAGGTTTTTAGGAAGCGCCTGGGACAAAAGAGACGGAAGAATATGTCTTCTACTTCGACGCCGGTTTTGAAGACCGCTATATCTACATCCAGTGTTGCAGCGTCCACTGTTTCTCCGAGTGCGTCTGTCGCCAGCATCCAGATGATGACCTCGCCTCTTATGACACCATGCGTTACAGCGTTTGGCGCTTGAGCGCTTGGCGCTTGGCGCTCCCTCACCCACGCTGTTGCCGATCTTGTCACTGCAACGACCGATGGGGCAGCAGTTTGCGCCGTGTCAGGCGCCCCAGGCTCCTGTGTCGCAGTCCTTTTCAGTGTTCCTGGGGCAGGCGCCTTATGCGTATCAACCATCTATAGGGTTTCCAATGCCTCAGGCGTCTATACGGCCTATACATCATACGGCCACCAGCAGTTTGATGTGTCCACGCTCAGCACTCTCTTGACTTTATTATCAGGTCAAGCCGGTACCTCAGCGCCTATGCCGTTTATGCCGCCA